ATTAATTCATGTAGGACGCCACTGAAGGCCTAGGTCCCAATAATGTGATATTTAGTCCCTGGAATGTGAATTTTACTTGAAGATCCCCACCGAAAAACTTGTATTTTACCCCCGGAATGCGATTTTTACAGGGGAACCCTCCTCGAAACGCGATTGGACTAGTTTTATTGCGAAAACCTGGCAACCCTGCTCATAGGTGCCACCTGCTGTCAGAGAGTGCGTCTCATTCAGATCTGCTGTTTTTGTTTCGTGCAGATGTTTTATGTAGCAAATAAATAAATAACACCTAAAGTCAGACCATTCTGTTTTTGTTTTAAATCCTGAAATTAATCTAAATCAAATCAAAAACAACTGCCCGTGCAGATCGTGATTAAAATGCAGTGTTGCCTCTAATTTCAAATGGCTAGATATTTTTGTTTAAAGCCAGTTTGTTTGTTATAAAGCAAATAGCCAATAAATAAATTTGCTTAAAAATCGGTATCAGAATCCAATTTGCTAGTTAAAAAAGAAAAGAAAATCTGAATTCTGAATCAGCTATGACTGCATCACTAATTAAAATACTAAGTAAAAGGCCTCAAATTTGAAGCACAATCTGGGATGTCTTTTTCTATCAATTCTTCAATAGGTAGATCTTGTCTTTCATAAAGGCCGAGGTCAGGGATCTTGGGCCTAAAAAGGTTGGTGACCACTGCTGTATAGCCACGTTTCAACTTTGCTGAACTCTGTCAGATGACGAGGAAGCCTCCAGTTCTGCGTGCGAGTTCCTGTAAATGTGTTTGTGAGGGCTGTCAATGCAGATGAACAGGAAACACATTGTCACTTTAGAGACTTATATTTTGTATGTGTTTACAGTAGAGGCCTTCTGCATTACTCCTACTGTAAATGTATGCATATGTTCTACATGTTACATCGAGACTAAATTCTAGCTGCACTTCAAATTTAAGCAGATATTTCTCAGAAAATGTCATATGTGTGCCATGTGTGTCCTCATGAATCATAAAATAACAGGATGCTTAAATTAGTCACAGTATTTAATAGATTTAATAGATTCAATATTTATATGCAATGAAAGATAAATTTTTAAATAAAAGACCAATTTTTTTCATATATATATATATATATATATATTGTGTATATATATATTTAGTATTTTTTTTAACTTTTTTTTTTTGCAGAAAAATACGCCTGTTTACCGTTTTCTTTATTTCTTTCTCTTTCTCTTTTTTTTTATTTATTTACTTTCTTTTTACTGAACATTTTACATCCCTAAGTATTTTACATATACAACTGTCCAAAAGTTCAGGGTTTTTATTGAAAAAGTCTCTTGTGATCACCAAGGCTGCATTCATTTGATCAAGAATACATTAAAAACAGTAATATTGTAAAATATTATTACAGTTTAAAATAACTGACTTCTAATTAAAACATTTTTAAAACAGGTCATTTTTTTAAAAGTTGCGTAGCTGCTTGATATTTTTGAAGAAACCATGATACAATCTTTTTAGGATTCATTGCTGAACAGAAAGTTCAAAAGAACAGCATTTATTGGAAACAAAAATTGTTTGTAACAATATAAATGTCTTTGTTGCCACTTTCGATTTATTGTTGAAAAAGTATCAGTGTCTTTCAAATATATATATATTTACAAATATATACAATTTCACTTTTATGTTCACACTGCTTTTTTGCTCAGAGAGAGGAGGCATTGACAGACGAGAAGAGGAATCAGAGATTTTTTTTGGAGATGTGCAGACAGGAAATAGAGAGGAAGTGTGACCCAAAGTAAAGACTTCATCAGTGGCTTTCATGAGCCCATAAGCCCTTCAAATGATGTGTGACAGAGCGTGAGATTATGATCCAATGTGTGTCTGGGGATTGAATCGCATGACGCACTCATTTGTGTGTGCCAAATGCCACTCTTTTTCACCTCTCCAATGTAGTGCTTTAAACATTTAATATACTGGATCAAGCATCAAATAGTCAATATTTATCTCAATATATACTTTATGTGTTCAGAACAACATAAAATTGTCTTTTTAGGGTTTCTTTGACTGACAATTCAACAGACAGACAGATGGATGATATATACATTTCTTTGATATTTTTAGAATGTAGGTGTGAACCTGCAGATTCTGTGAGGACTGTGATTGACAGTGCTTTAGAGATCTTCTGCAAAATCTCATGACTCTAATTCCTGGTGTTCTTGCTGACGGTACAGTTCATGTAACGAGACAAGCATGAACAGTCAATGGCTGCTCAGATATGCTGGAGTCACAAGACACTGAGGAAAGAAACACTGTTCCCACCAAAGTCGAGGTTCAAGAAAAACACATTGCTGCTGTTTCACTTTGTTCGTTTTTTGCAATGGTGAACAGTAACTACACTGTAAAAAAAATCTGTGACATTTACGGTAAAATACCGGCAGCTGTGGTTGCCAGAACTTCACCGTAAAAAAATATGGTAGCAACATTTTAGGTTTTACAGACTTAACTTAAATTCACAATAAAATACCGTATTTCATTAACTGATGTAATGTTAATAAACCAACATATTGAAGTGTTAATATCTGTTTTGAATCACTGTAATGCACTGATAACCACCGAAAACTGGTGGTGATGAGAAAGTTACATGATGAACCAAAGCTCATCACAAACAGCTTTTCTACGAGCTGAGGAGGGCAATACTTTTACATAGAAGTAAGGTTTTTACTGTAGCATTTTTACAGTCTTTTACTGTTAAAATCACAATCATTTTTTACAGTGTAGCGTTTTGTTGTTGTACTCAAGTATTTTATTGCTTAAAAAATGTAATATCTGTATATTTATTCACACATATATTTGTGAATGAATCAATCCTTTGAGCTGATTATTTTCTATGGAATTAATAAATTGCGCTGAATGATTCATTTGCGAAATTGACTGATCTGATTAACAACTCACTGATCAGTGATTCGGTCAGAGTGAGTCTCTTTAAACAAACAACTGAATTGGTCTTGTCCCATTCAAAATGATGAAGAATGAACCAGGAGATCCTTTTTTCTCAAAGCAATCAAATAAAATAAATAAATAAATAAAAGATCCTTAAAGTTTAAGTATGCTCCTCATAATTTATAACAATTTCATAATGAGCTCTAATCTACTTAAGCTCAAAACTTTGGTAAAATATCCTTATGTCATAATGTTGACTTTTTATCTAATAATTATGGCTTTGTTTGTTATCATTTTTTACTTTTGTCTCATAAATATTGAGTATCTCATAATGTTGACTTTTTATGTTAGAATTATGAAGTTGTATATTGTAATTATGATTAGCCAAAAGCATGTTTTTTTTCTTACATGGTGGAAAAATAATCAATTTATATATCAATACTTTTAAGTACATTCAAAAGTAAAAAGGTTATACTTGTATTCAATTGAAAATGACAAAGTAGTGCATTTACTTTTATTGGTAATATTTCAGCATGGTCATCTGTATTTTAATTTATGTATAGTACTTCATCCACCAGTGTTCTTTTAGTATCAATGAGATACTATTATAGTTTTATTCTATTTGAACATTTTGAATTTGTTTTTAATTTTGTTTTCCATTTTCATTTTAATCCTAATTAAAGTTTTACAGTATATTTTAAATATTTAAATTAAGTTTTAGTGGTTTCGTTATGTTTTTGTAATTTAATTCGTTTTTTTGTGATGTTACTTTGAATTTGAATTTTTATTTCAGTTTTAGTTTTATATTTTAGTACATCAAGTTAAACTAAATGAAAATAATGAAATGTTGCTTTGGCAACTAGCTTTATAGTTTTATTCTATTTGAACATTTTGAATTTGTTTTTTATTTTGTTTTCCATTTTAATTTCAATCCTAATTAAAGTTTTACAGTATACTAGTTAAAGATTTAAATTAAGTTTTAGTGGTTTTGTTGTGTTTTTGTCATTTAATTCGTTTTTTTTGTGATGTTACTTTGAATTTGAATTTTTATTTCAGTTTTAGTTTTACATTTTAGTACGTCAAGTTAAACTAAATGAAAATAATGAAATGTTGCTTTGGCAACTAGCTAAAATAAATAACTTTAAGGTTTTTTATATTTGATTTCAGTTAACGTTTATTTTATTTCAAGTAATAGAAATGTTTTGAGTTTTAGTTTTATTTAACTCTAATAACCCTGTCAACCTGCACTTTGAGCTTTTTAGTAGTTAACTCCAGAAACTAAGAGACTTTCCATAAAGTAAGAAGACAAGAGCAAAAGATCAGGTAAAGCAAACAGAACAAGTCAGATTTGACTGTGATTATAAGAATGAGCTCATCTGAAATGACAAGCAGAAACAGACAGTTAGTGAGCATCAGTAAAAGACATAGTTAGTGAGCATCACACTGTGTACAGGGGAGTGAAAGTGTGGAAGAATTTCAGATAAACACTGGCACAACCTGCATGCCAGAGTCATGCCATCATTAACATCCTGTGGTCTGCAGCAACACACTGCCAATAACATCTCTCTCACTTTTTTTCCACAGAATGGGACAAAACCAGGGCAAGGAGGGGGAGCTAGGGCAGGACAACAGCTCTGCAGGACCAGAGGAAAAGGGACCAAGCCCAGACCCCGGGGGGGCTAAAGAGGAAGGAAATCTAACCATTGAAACTCATGGTGTCGAGAACACAGCCGGTGGAGGGTTGGATGGAGGCCCAGGCAGGGAGTCACCATCACCTACACCAATGCACAGTTTGGATTCTCATGATAAGGTGTGCGCTCCCACGGATGGGGGGGCTGCGGAGGGAGGGGATGGCGGGAAAGAGGGAGGAAGAAAGAGTAGTGAGGAAGGCAGGGCTGGACCGCTGGCTCCACAGCAGCTGAATGGAATCGCACAGTCTGACAGTGAACCAGACCACGAGAGAAAAGACTTGGAGAGTACACTAGAAGACCATCAGGGGAACTTTAGGTGTGACCTTCCTGCTAAAGACAAAGTTGAAAGCGGTTGCAAAGGAGAAAACAGGAGTAAGAAGTGCGCTTCACATGCAAAGAACGAAATGGTGTCTGTCTGTGGAGATGACGACAAGCTAAAGAGCCAGGAAGAGGACAGAAAACTCGATTTTGAAGCCACCTGTGATATTACAGGGCCTACCTTGGAGATTCTGGAAGGGAAGGACGTTTCAAAACCACGTGGTGGGGACGCCAACACAAATGTTCACTTCACAGTTCAAGACCAAGCGTTAGTCACTACAGAAAACGTCAAGTTGAAGACCAGCATGACTGAATCGCAAAACAAGAGGCCGATTAACAAGCCCACAACATCACAAGCGGAAACATCAAAGGACATCACTGAGGCAATTGAGCACAGCAACGAAGAAATACAGAAGAAGCTGCCAGAGAATCCAGATAAGGTTGTAACAGAAACGTCAAACTTTGAACGTTCCTCCCCGAAGAACGTCGAAACCCAAGGGTGGTCAGTGAAGGATGTCTACGGAGCCAGAGAACCAGAAACCTCCAGCGCCGAACGCTCGTCCCTGATGAATGCAGAAACCCAGGGGCGGTCGATGAAGGATGTCTGCAGAGCCAGAGAAAACGTTACGGGGCGTCAGCCAACAGATGATGTCATAAAGACCAGATTTACTAGTTCATCTCTGGCAGGTGCGGATTTACAAAGCAAAGCTGTGAGTCTGAGCCCAGAGGACCTCAGCGCCTTAGAAGTGGCATCCAAGTCACCTCGACAAATATCTGCGGGCGAATTCCCACAGGACGAGCTTCAGAAAGAAAGGCAATTTAATGTGGCAGACTCGGAGAGCCCTTGGACCAAGGAACCTTCACTTGGGAGATCACCCGCTGGAGGTCATAAAAATAAAGATGGCATGAGAGAGAGTGAAGAAAGAGAAAATCTGGAATCTGCTTCAAAGGGTCCCTATCATTCCCATGCAAAGAAAACCAAGATAAAAGATCTTTCTCTGCGTGGAACAGAAACGGAAGAGGGTTGTTTTGTGACATCTAATATTGCCAGTGTATGTATGCTGGGTGAAAACAAACCACGGCTACAAAGCTATGAAGATGAGAAATGTATTGCATTCTCGGAAGACATTACAGATTCGAACCCCCCTTGTAAATCTGATGTTCAAGTTATGCAAACAAATGAAAAAGAGGATTCCCCTCTTTCAGTATGCACAGAGAAAAGTCTGGAATGGTTTCTGGCTGAAGCAGCGATAAAACCCCTTCCAGAGACAGTGAAGGATACTACACATGAGATGGATCCAGAATGTTCCTCTTCTGTAAGTGATCCTACAAAACAACAGAGGTTAGTGGGAAACGCTAACTCGGGCGACAAGACGTCATCAGAGAGAAACAAGGTCGGCAAGTCTACTATCAGCTTGCGTAAGGAAACATCTGCAACTGGTTCCATCTCTGAGCTCATTGCTGGTCCTGAGACAACTTCAGGTCGCATAGATGATAGGCCAAGTGTGCACCAGAAAACAGAAGTCACTCTGTCTGGCTCTTCTCAGCTTCAAGAAAAATGTTTTTTGAAGGTTTTAACAAATGCGTCAACCCATTCCACTGTAAGCCCGACAGACGTATCCGGTCAGGTCCGGGATGGTTGTGCTGCCGGAGCTGCATTAACAGACAACGCAGCAAACACATCTGCTGCACAAGATGTGCAACATTCCTCCTCCATGTGCAACCTTATAAGCATGCAAGCTAACGAGAAACAAGATAAACAGCAGAACAAGCGGTCGACAAAAGCAAATTGTCATGTGTTACAGGAGAAACATTCAAGCCAGCTTGACCAAAAGCACGCAATAGAAAGCAGCCCAACCACTATCATGGAAGCACCACAGGGTGCACAGAAAAGACATGTTTCTGATATGATAAAGGAAACTATTGAATTGCAGAAGAAGATGAAGGAGTGGACCAAGCCAGCTGAGGCCCAGGTCGATCTGACCTTAGATCCAACACAGTCTGTGAAAGTGTCACAGATGAAAGCAGCATTTGATCCACCGAAGAAATCACCTGACAAAGCACTAGAGAGAAAACCTTCAGTAAGAAAAGGTAGGAACATTTCTGAGAAGGATGCTATTCATGTAATGCACGGACCCCTTGGTGGATAGAGGGATGGAGCAGAAACCCCTAGTGTTGCATTGTGTTGCTATTAAACCAGACCAAAATGGCATGCTTACAGTACCATATTATTGTATTTTTACATACTTTAAAAAAAGAATCATATTTGCATTGCAAAGCCCTTAAAATAATCATTATTGACGTATAGTCAGATTCTTGTACATTAATGTTGGAGGAACATTCTTAACATAAATTGTTTAAACAATTGTTTATTATTAACCAACTGTATTTATTTACTGGATGTAGGTGTGCAGAAAGTAATGAAATTGTGTATCCCATCCCTGCATAATGGTGCCATCTTGTGGAAATCAACCTCAACATATAGGTTGAGTTAAAAAAAAGTACACCAATATCCAAAATTCGTGTTTATACCTCATTGTACTTTCACCATGATACTATCAGCTTACTAATCGACGACATTTAACGTTTACTGACTTCACTGTATGTATGGCGTCCGCAAACTGGTTCTACAAGTGCAGTCACGTCGTCCACATTGAACTTCATACCTGTTTACGCTCCGAGTGGGCAGGGCTACGATGAATATGTTTTGTGATTGGTGACCTTTGACGCCACTCATTGCTCTTTTGTCTAATCACGTTCTTCGTGGGGCGGGGAAAACGAAACAAGGCGTGGCTTCCGGCGAGTCTCGGACAAGTTGAGTGAGGCAGAGGCATAGAGAGCATTCGCGCGATCAGGGACTGCAGCTGGGAAACTAAAGCTGTCTTTAGTACAAACATAAAGTCGGGCCTGGATATATTTTTCCTACGACAGCTGAGAAGGTAAGAACAGGCGCATACTCGTTCTGTCACGTAATGTCTGTATCACGAAGCGAAGATTGCATTGCTGTGCGTAAGTTTAAGAATCTGTCCATGCGAAGGGATCATGGCAGCGTGGATCAGGCCAGATGGGCTGATCTGCAGTGCTCAAAACGGGGGATTGATTTATTAAATTCTGATATTTCATATCTGAACTGACATGCTGCTAGGGTGGAACATGTAGTGCTGTGATTTGTATGGAAGGATTAGGTAACCCTTTTGACTTTGCCTTTAAACAGGGGTCTGTTTGAATTTTTGAATTAAAACGAATACGAATAGTAATGATATGAAATGTTCGATTTTTCTATTTTAAATTGCTAGTTTAGAATGTTAGAATCTTTCATTTGAAATTGGAATGTTCGAATCTTGGAATCTTTGTTTGCTGATCACATTCGAAGAACAGGGAGCGAGTGAGCGATCACTAAACAAATAAAGCTCAAATTTAACCGCTTTAATTTGCAACCAAAGCCTATGTGATTTTATCTTAATTTTTTGGCAACTTTTAGCTTGCTTTGCTGAAGTAATTTGTTCGAACTGTCAGTCTGGTCTGGTTTGTCTTCTATTCACTGCTCGGAGCAAAAATGAAAGTTTATATCAGTATGAGATAGAAGTGTCAAGCCTTGGAACAAATGATATTCAGAAAATATGCAGAATAATCAAATTCGTTTAATCAATCAATACATATGCGGAGAAAAATGTAGAGAGATTAGTGGCCAAGACGTGTTTAAACAAGTTGGCTGAACTTCCTGTAGGTGTGGATTATCTTGTTAGATCCAAGAGGGTGGATGCATTAAAAATCATCTTTGAAATTTAATACAATGTGATGTCTGTGTGCAAGTTAAAGTTTTAAATATTATGAAATGATCAGCACTTTTGATAAATTATGTTGAAGTGATGATATATTTGAGATAAAGTGTCAAGTCTTACCAGTCTTTAAGAAAAAGGTGTTTTATTCTACATGGAATTGACAGACTTACTATTAATAATACATTTCATGTAAAAACAGAGCTGAGATTGAGAATAAATGCAGGGACATCTGAAAATGTATCGGTTGAAATGAATAAAAACCAGATAAATGTGAACAGAAACTTGCTGAGTGCACGTTCAGTGCAATGTGGTTTCTGTTTAAAACCTTCCCTTTTCCTTAGAAGCACTTCAAAAAAAATGTTATGATGCAAAAAAACAACAAAAAAAGCCAAAATGTTTCTGTAATTTCAGCTGGAAGAACAAAAGTTGTTTGGTTGTCATTGTTCTATTCAGTATGACTCTTAACCTCAGGTTACTGTCTATCCCTGTAATATACTATAAGGCATTTTAGATGAAATTGCTCCTTTGTTTTGAGTTGTTGAGGTTGACTGCTTCATATCCACCCTAAAAGCATTCGTATACTGTCTTGGAGGTTTACTTGTATGTTTGCTTCTTGCATTAACCTTCAGTTATCTCAAAGGAGGAGAACAAGTGTTTGGGCTGCTACACCCAGTTAGTGTTTTAGTGAATATCATGTAGCGTGCAGGGTTTTCTGTGGTTACCCATGTGTCGACCACACTGTAATATTGTCTGGCTTGTTTCGGGTTGACTCACTAACTTGCCAGGCAGCAGGAAAGAATATAAAAATAATGAAACCTCAAATGCTGTGACGTATTGTGAGGCATAAAAAAGTTTGTTTAGAAATCGAAGAAATGCCAGATATGTTTGTATCGACTGCTTTCTGTTTGCAGTATTGCAGACTGTCTGTTTTAACTTTTGGCATTTACAATTCAATTTCATGGATTTATCAGATATATTTTTTTTATAGAACCAGAAGGATGAAAGAACTCATTGTACATGGATAAAAGTGCATTATGGTTCAGTTATAGCCCTTTTTATTTCTTTTTTCAAGAGGCCAGCCTTTGTTCTTGTTTAGTCATTGCTGGTGCATGATATAGCTGGAGGCCACGCTGAAATCTTGACATGGTAATGTTTGGGCTGGCCGTCAGAATGCATCAGCCTGTTTATGCATATGGATGTCATTGCATCGGCTCCTCTGTGCCTGTTTCCTTGTGCTCCTTGGGAAATGGGTCAGGATGCTGGGTAAAATTAGTCAGGAGATGCAGGAAATTGCCGCAAGCCTGGAGAGGATGCAGCTTCGAGAGCGTGTGTGTGTAAGAGAGATAGAGAGAAACAACTGGACATATATAGGCAGGGAGAATCTGTTGAGAGTTTTCAGGAAGTTTTGTTTCCTCTAAAGACCTGACAGTTTCAGGTTGCATTGCACATTTACCAGATAACGTTCTTGTGTTAGATGCACATCCTTTAGGCTGCGTTCATCAGAGTATTGAGCATTACGATGGATATCTCACCATCAGCAGGTATGCAGACTTAAATGCAACCTTTTTTAAGACCATTGAAAGTCATTATACAACATTGTCTTTGCTGAAACTCTCTTGTTGCTTATTTGAGAAAGATTTTCCCTGTGACATTATGATTAAAAACAGTTTTACAGGAATTAACAGGTTAGAAGCATCACTGTGAAGTCTTTTGACATCTCTATCCTTAGTTTGATTGGCTTCTGTTCATTGTTTACCTGCATAGCATTTAGCTGAATAGGCAAATGTCACCTTTTACAAGCTGTAAAAACACATTGAAAGGTCAAGTGTCAGCATGACACTTTGATTCCGAGACTATGGATCTTCAATAGCTAAACAACAGATCCAGATTTTGAGCTCCGTTCTGAATGCTACGTTTCATGGCACTTTATTTGTTGTAAAGTGAGTTTGTGTAGAAGCTTAGCCCACTGGGTTTATAAATCTGAGCATTTAAGCTCAATTCACTGGTTGTAACGTTTAATCAGCATATGTATTCGTCCGTAAAACCTAATGTTTTCCTAAGGTGAATAATGATGTCATAAATCTAATTTAAAACCCATAATTAGGGCTCTATAAAATCAGTTTTATTATTTTTTTCACACATTCTTTTAATTTATTTACTTTTTTTCTTAAATTTGGCTTTTCTGATTAAATATTTCTGGATTCTGTGTTTTATGATTTATTATACATTTATAATCAAAAACTGTTGTAATGTATGAATGCATAGAACTTAATCTTTAATCAAATTAAATTTGAATAATTCCTTTTTTTTTTTTGACAGTGCTGCACAACAGATGTTTACAGTTTAAATAAAAACATGGATTAAAAATAATGTTACACTCCTTAAAGTGTTTTAATAACTGTATTATTATTGTTATTATTTTGAAGTACATTTTACTGTACAATAGGAGTGGGCAATATGGCAAAAATATCATATCACGGTTTTCTTTTTTCAGGAATATCACGATTCGCGATTTTATCATGATTCTTTGCCATGTTGGTTTTACTATTTTGCAAGTTGTCCGAGCAGTGAAGCCACACTAATTTCCCTATTTTAAAAACAAAGCCTTACAAGGTAACAAAATATAGAATAAAAAAGTGTGGCAGATATTTAGGCCAAAGTGGGCGAAGATAAAAATCATTATTTTATATTTGTTATTAAAAAATAAGAACAAATATATACATTACAAATACACATAATATACAAATAAAACAAACAGTGCTTTATTTTTCAGGTACAGTAAGCGTACTTAGAAGTAGCATTCAAGGAATTGAATTAACAAATATAAAAATAAAACACTAAATACATCAATTATACATTGATTCTTATTAAAGCAACTGTATTAAAGTTCTTGTGTTTTGTTGCTTTATTAACATTAAAGGGATAGTTCACCCAAAAAATAATTCATTTACTCACTCTCAAGTTGTTTTTAAACCTGAATGAGTTTCTTTCTTCTGTTGTGGGTAACCAAACAGTTGCTGGCAGTGACTTCCACAGTATTTTTTTTTTTCTACTATCAAAGTCAATGCTACAAAAGCTACTTTTTGGTTACCCACATTCTTTAAAATATCCTCTTTTGGGTTCAGCACAAGAACGAAATTAATACAGGTTTGGGACAACATGTGAGTGAGTAAAAAAATAACAGAAATGTAATTTTTGGGTGTACTATCCCTTTAATGACAAGCGGCAGCAACGTTTAGTCTCCTGCCCCTTTAAGACCTGCATCATCTAATATACAGGCACGCATTAATTTTTCTCTCAACTGTTTACTTTCACTTTAGACACAACCAACTGTGTTATATGTAAACCTTGTGTGTTTTTGACCGTAT